TGGATCAGAAAACCTGCACTGTGTCCTGTCCTGCCTTTACACCTTCCTTAAGGTTTTGTCCTCAGGCCTAGCATGTCAGTCTCTCTCCTTCTTACAATGTGTCAAACTTCCATATTGTAGTGGCAGGAATGGACACAAGGCAGGTTTTCTATGACCCCATGCAGACCAGGGTAAAGGAGGAAAGAGTCTTGGAACCCTCAGTGGCTTTTTTGCAGGCTTTTATTTGGATTTACCAGGTACACGGCAAGCAGGGGTGCTGGGGGGCTGGGAGGCTGGCAGGCCTCCCAGTCCCCAGCAAGTCTTTCTGGCGCTCTCCTGCTTTTTCGCTTCTCTGCTTCTGCTGGCGTCCCCATGACGTGGCCCTTAAAAAGCCCAGTCTCTGCCCAGGTGAATCCCACCTACATGTGCCCACACCCTACTCCAGGTGCCCGCCCTCAGGCATGCATTCAGGACCGCAGGGTTCCCTCATCCATCCTGATGGCAGGAGGGCAGAAAAGCCTGATACTTTTCACCTTACCCTACACATATCTAGTTTCAAACCCAGCTGAGAAGTCACATCTTTTGCAAAGGTGTCTTTAAACAAGCTTTTTCCCCCCAGAGCTCTTTCGATTCCTGTATATATTGCTTATGCTAACACCTACCACAGTGTGCTATGCTTTATTTTACATTTGCCTCATCACTGGATTTGATGGCAGAGCTTGGGTTTTCAATGCTGGTGTAGAAGACTAAGGATTAAACCAGAAGCAACAGAGATATCAGATTCTTTTTGTAGCCCATCTGCTCACAGTTGGTCAGCATTGGGCAGTGTATGAAACTGCAGTTTTCAAGTGTGTAAGGAAGAGGACTGGACAAGCAGAGGTCCCCACAGCATGTGTGAGGAGTCAGCAACTTTGGCATCAGCTGGGATTTGTTGCAAATGCAAACTCTACTGAGTCAGAAATTCCCAGGGGTAAAGCCTGTTTTAACAAGCTCTCAAGGTGTTTGAAGTGAGATAAATTTGAGAACCACTGAATGATTTCTAAAGTCCTTTTCAATGTGAACATTCCCTTTTTTTTTAAAGATTTATTTATTTATGCATAGAAGAGCTGGGGTACAGGCCAGAGGTGTGGGGGGATGAGAGGATTCACCAGAGACAGAGTGGGGAGCAGAACAGGTGGATTGACTGAAACATACTGCTGAGGGGAGCAGCGGGCGAGTCAGGAGAGGTCTGCTACGCCATGTGGGTAGCTCCCTGGCTGGGGATCGAACTTGTGCTGCAGTGGCTGTGGACAGCTTCATAAGTTGCGTTTTAACTCTTTGTGCCACCAGGGAGGCCCTCAGTGTGAACATTCTATGATCATTTGGAAAAATGTTAAAATGTTACGAGATTTTAAATATTCATATTTATTTTTTACTAAAACGGAATTCTTACACACTTTAAACAATTAACTGGTGTCCTTTTCATTCTCAGATACTGCTCTTAACTATTTAAAAATATTATATTGCTGGGCCTCCCCGGTGGCGCAGCGGTTGAGCGCTGGGTTGCGAAGCTGCCGGCGGCCTCTGCGGCGCCGGTTCGATCCCCGGCTGCTCCCCGGCCACCGGAGGAGGATCCCACATGGTGCGCAGACCTCTCCTGCCACCCGCTGCTCCCCTCAGCAGTGTACTTCAGCCCTTCTGCCTGCTCTGCTCCCCGCTCTGGCTCTGGTGAATTCTCTCACCCTCCCGCGCTTCTGACTGTACCCAGTGCATGTATAAACAAAAACAAACAAATATAATAAATAAATAAATAAAAACATGCCTCTATAAAAAAAAAAAAAAATTATTAAAAAAAAAAAAATAAAAATATTATATTGCTAGAACTTTCAGTGAATTTTTCAAGTACTAAAAGCAGATATTTTGGACTCTGATACAAAGGGAACAATTGATTTTAAGATATTCTTCAGACAAAGAAGCTGAGTTTGCTGCCTAGTAAGAGATGACGATTTTAATCGGACAGAATGGCTTTTCCCTCCTTTTGTAATTAGCAAACTGAATATTTTTAGTGCCAGGAATGTTGGGTAGGGTCATTTCATTATCATAATTCCCTCTGAAAGCTAATTGTGTGTGTGTTTTTTTTTTTTTTAATCCAGTAGGAAAACTTAAAAAATAAAAAAAGCAGGCAATGTAAACTTTAATTTGGGTTAAACAAAAAAAGAAAGCCGTGATCACTTACTAAACTGTAAATAGTGAAACAGCTAATAGGATTCAAGTAAGGAAATATTCAGAGACTTCTTTGTCTAGTTTCAGCAGGAGGAAGGAATCTGGCTTCATTTGAAATTAATGCCAGGAACAACTCAGACAAGCACCATATTTACTCCTACTTTTATCATAAGAGAAGTCAAACAGCATTTTGGAGGGAGGAAAAAGTGGGTACATAATCCAGCAGGTCAGTTTTCACGAACAGACACTTGTTCATATTAACATGTGGAGAAAAATCTCCCCTGCAAGGCTGCTCATGTAGGGCCACGTCTGCCCTCACTCCAGGAGCTGATTACCACCCATGGAACTGCAAAGGGCTTGCTTTCTTGGCATCTTATTTCCAACTATTTCCTACATATAAAAATAGTTGTGGGGAGATGATACGTTTGCAGACCTAAGGCCTAATACAGTCAGCCTTTCACTTTGTTCTAGCGCCCCGGTTACCCATGACAATGAGCTCAGCTGCTGGCTCTATGTCTTCTAGCTAAATTGCAAAGTTCTAGCCCTATCTCTTTCTTTTCCTCATGGAGAGAGATGTCCGTTTTCTTGGTCTTTGGAGCCCTCAGGAATACAGCAACTGCACCAACATTTTCTGGTGAGATTTTTTTCAAAGGAACCATCTCCATTTTTATGCTAGACACTTCTGTAGGCTGTCTACCATGCTAGTTCCATCTGGCAGAAAACAATGTACTGACTTTAAGGACAAATCATACAGAAATCTTAAAAAGAGGAGGCAAAGAAAAGGGAAGGTCTTTGAAAATCTGGCCTAAGCCTGGTGCTGATGGCAATAATGCAGGATTTTGATTTTCCAGTAAGATGTTTACCTCTGTAATCACTGTCCCCTTCCCCTGAAAAGAGAAGGTTGTGTTGAACTACAAAGGGTCTACATGGGCTAAGGATGAGGTATGCAGTGGAGCAGAGATGTTAACATCGAGGAGAGCTCTAAAAACAGGCTCTGTGAAGAATGAACTCAGAGGGATGTCCATCCCCAAAGAATTCACCCCCTCCTAAATCCAGAAAGAACATCCCAAGTTTGGGCCTCCCTGGTGGCACAGTGGGTTGAGTGCAGTGCTGTGAAGCTGTCCGCAGCCTCTGTATCATGAGTTTGATTCCCAGCTGGTCAGGGAGAAACCCACCTGGTGCGGCAGACCTCTCCAGTCTCGCCCACTGCTCCTCTTAGCAGTGTATTTCATCAGTCTGACTGTTCTGTTCCCCGCTCTGTCTCTGGTGAATCCTCTCACCCTCCTGCACCTTTGACCTGTACCCCAGTTCTTGTGTAAAAATACACAAATCTTTAAAAAAAAAAAAGAGAATATCCCAAGTAGATGAGTGCTACAGGGGAAAGGAGAGAAGGAAAAGTATAAGAGGTCAATGATGAGGAAGTGGAGGGAGAATGAGCAAGAAAACAAGATGGGGAGGAGCTTGCAAGACAAGCAAAGAATAACAGAGTGCGAAGTCAGAAATGGGGATATGAGGAAGGGTCCAGATGGAGGGAGGTAGAGATGGGGAGATGTGAAAGCCAGAGGGGCGTGGTGGGGGTGGGTATGTTTATATTGGGAGGGTCTTTATGGGTGTGGTCCTGGAGATCTTCCCAGTGAGGTCATGATAACTGCATGGTAGACAGCCTACAGAAGCTTCTAGCACATGTCTGGCAAACACATCACTGGCACGGATGAAAGCAGCCGAGAGCCAGGACTGTTCTCGGGAGAGGCATTGCTTTTCGAGAGTAGGAAAAGCCACAAGGTGAAATTTCTCTGCTGTAGTCACTGGAAACGAGAAAGGATTTGGAGGGAGGATTCTGCTATAATACAGTCACAGCCCAGCTAGCCTGGAAAAATGCGTCCCTGCCACATCATTGCCTCCCCTATTACACTTCCCAGGGTAGAGTTTCGGTTGCTGCAGGGCACGTTAGTGTGTACATCAGCGGCTTCCCTGGTTTAGGATTTATACCAGCCCCCCTGTTGTGACACGAGGACATCTGTCATGGCCGCATTCACAGCTGTATGGCTTCCATATGATGAGTGTACACTGGCTTTTTCTAATATTTACTTTTAGGACATAGGTCAAGTGGGAAATTGGGGGGAAAGTCCAAATATTGTCTTAGTTTTACCTATGGTATAAGGAGATGGTGTTTATTTCTGTTCAATCTGACCATAAACTGTATATCATGTATTTTATTAATCTCTTTGTTATGTTGAGCTAGATATAAGTTTATGGAAGACAATTAGAGCTGATCATTCATCTGCTTTACGGTATCACATTTCTTTTCCCAGCCATTTCATTCCTGTTTACCCTAAGAGGAAATCTTTTATTGCAATGAGCTGAATATTATCTCATTTAATAAGAATTCTTAAATAAGCACATTTCTTTTTCTTTTTCTGTTGCTTCAGAAACACTAAGTTAATATCAGTGATGAACTTTTTAACAATTTATATTCTACTCTACTTTTACTTTTTTTCAAACTGTTCTCCTGAAATGCTAGAAAATAAATGAATCCCAATAAAATGCCAGTTAAATAAACCTTCAAAATCCTTTGTTTGATTTTTGTTAGAAGAAACTCCTACACAGGCAATTTGGAATGTGTTCAACACAAGTGTGAATCATCGATATATAATCCTTGAGAATATGTTGAAAGGAAAGTCTTTGCCGAAGAGAGAGTAGCTTAAAATAATCTCAAAGCATCTGGTTCACACCTGGGAAAGCACACTGTCTAGTTCAGCACTGCGATTATTAAGGCTGTGACATGAACTGTCCTTGGATTTTATATTTTCCTATTGCAGACAATTTCCACAAATGAGACTCACTGGACGGCACTGAGCCTTTTCCGTGCACCACAAAATAGCGGAAGAAAAAGCTGCAGAGGAGAAGGACTTACACGGAGGCTGCTCTTGGACACCAGCTGTGTATGAACGTTCAAGTCTTTATGTGAGTGTGACACACAGAAGTTTGGAATTTTCACTCTCTTTAGTCTATGTTTTCAGCTTAAGAGCATGAAAGCACGTTTACTCCAGGTTTGTATGTAAAATTTGTTCATGCAGAAGAGTAGTGTATCAGGTGCTTTCTCTTTTTTTTTTTAAATTTTTTTTTTTTGTGTGAGTGTAGAACTGGGGTGTAGGCCAGAGGTGCAGGGAAGAGGGGGTGAGGATTCACCAGAGACAGAGTGGGGAACAGAACAGGCAGATTGACTGAAACACACTGCTGAGGGGAGCAGTGGGTGAGACAGGAGAGGTCTGCTGTGCCATGTGGGTAGCCCCCTGGCCGGGGATGGAACTCACGCTGCAGTGGCTGCAGATAGCTTCATAGTGCTGAGACTTAACCCCTATGCCACCAGGGAGGCCCTCAGGTACTTTCTCAATAATGCAAAAATATTACAGATGGTCAGTATAGTGTGATTTTTTTTCTTTTATCTTTTTGTTAAGGCTTGGTTTCCGGATGTGAGTGTAATACATCCCTGCCTAGTCCACAGACGAAGACAAGCAGCAGTCCCTTTTATTTTCTTTGCACTCTCCTTTTGTCCCATCAGTTAAATTTTGTGCATGTAATAATTTTCTTAAAGGTGAGAAATGTCTACAAAATATTCCCAAATGATGCCAAACTTAAACATATGTTTAATTTTGACATTATCTTTATTCATGGAAACGCTTCATTAATAAAACCCCCTACTTCTTGGTGCCTTCCTCTCAATTCCCTCACATGGATTTGCTTATGTGAACCCCAAGCAGCCCTACACATACATATTGTCTACACACACACACACACACACACACAACTAAATGCTTTGCAACTGAATTTAGATCCTTTCTTCATTCCTAGTTATTTTTTCTTGACATTTTTTAGCCTCAGTTCTTACCACTTGATGCCTGACAGGCTTGTGAGGTGATGGAGGTCAAGAGAGGGTCCAACAGCCCCCTCTCTCTCTCTCTTTAAAGATTTATTTATGCATACAAGAACTGGGGTACAGACCAGAGGTATGGGGGGGTGAGAGGATTCACCAGAGACAGAGTAGGGAGCAAAACAGGCAGACTGACTGAAATACACTGCTGAGGGGAGCAGCAGGTGAGGCAGGAGAGGTCTGCTGCGCCATGTGGGTAGCTCCCTGGCCAGGGATCGAACTCATGCTTCCGTGGTTGTGGACAGCTTCATAGGTTGAGCGTCTTAACCCCTTGAGCCACCAGGGAAGCCCCCAACAACCTCCTCTCTTCATCATTTCTTTCATTTTGCCCCTTTCCCTCCTGATCAGTGCCCTTGAGCTAATACCTCAGGGCTCTCTCTTCCAGCTCTGTCCTACCTCCACATGTACGTGCCCTGGGAAGTATCACCCATAACCCAACCTGCCCTAGTCTCAGAGTCCTTACAAATTCAGGCAGTGGGTGTCATACTCCTCCCCTCCCTGCCCACCAGTCAACAAAGGATGACAGCAATTCTGCACACTCATGAAACTACCCGTATGCGAGAGTGACGTAGTGCTCTCGCCTTTGCAGAGGGCAGATGGTTTCCCCAGTCATGTGCCTCTTTCCTATTCCCTAGGACTCGATATCATCACTGTTTATTCCCTGCACAGCATTAAAACATTTGTATTAAAAGGATCTGACGTTTGCTGAAAGCATGCACATCACAATCGTACAGCTTGATAGATTCCACACAGTGACCTCCTAGGTCCACAAGTAAATATAACCAACATCCCCAAGGCACACCTTCCCCTTCTACCCAGCGGTAGCTACAATCCTAACATCTGCACCATAGATCGGTTGGTAATTTTTTAAATTTATGAAGCATAATATGCTTTGTGGTCTGACTTCTCTCACACAATGTAATGTTCATGAGATTGATCTATGCTGTTACATCGAGCTGTAGTTCTTTCATTTTCATCGATGAACATTATCTCAGTGCATAAATATACCACATTTTATGCATTTTCCTATTGATGGGAAATTTGGGGCTATCACAAAAACTACTACTGAGAACATTTTTGTCCATGTGTTATGGTGCACTAAGTCTTATTTCACTAAGTCATGAAATAAGAATTATTTTTTCAGTTTTGATATACACTACAGAAAAGTTTTCAGGGCCTCCCTGGTGGCAAAGGCGGTTGAGCCCTGCCCTGTGAAGCTGTTCGTAGCCTCTGCAGTGCCAGTTTGATCCCTGCCTGCCAGCGAGGGTCCCACATGGCACGCAGGCCTCTCCTGCCACGCCCGCTGCTCCCCTCAGCAGTGTATTTCATCAGTCTGCCTGTTCTGTTCCCTGCTCTGTCTCTGGTGAATCCTCTCACCCTCCCAAGCATTTGGCCTGTACCCCAGCTCTTGCATAACTAAAATAAATCTTTAAAAATTAAAAAAAATAGAAAAGTTTTGCAAAGTGGTGGGACCAAGTTACCTTTTTTCCACCCAAGTATAAGAGATCCATCTCTATATAAACACTATATATAATATGGATAATCATTAAAAAAATTACCACTTTGGTGACTGTTGTTACATTTCATTGTGGTTTTGACTTGCATTTCCTTAAAGACTAGTAAGATTTAGTATCAATTTATGTCTGTTGGACATTTGGATATCCTCTTTTATGAAGTGTTTGCTCAGATTTCTTGCCCATTATTCTATTGTGCAATTTGCTTTCTTTTACAGATGTGCTGGAGTGAGTTCTTTGTGTATTCTAGATATGAATCCCAGCAAGAAGCATATACACTGAAAATGTTTTCTACCACATTCTGGCCAAGCTTTTTACTCTGTGAATGATGCCTTTTAATAAAAGTAACTCCTTGGGATGTAGTCCACTTTGTAAGTCCTTTTCTTTGTGATTGGTGATTATCTTTTCTGTTTTAACCACATGTTTTCCTCCCTTAAGTCAGAAGATATGTGTCCGTGTTATCTTCTAGAGCATCTGTCTTTACCTTTTACACATAGGTCTACCAAATGTACAGCTGAAGTGATGTTGGGGTATGATGTGCGTTGACAATCAAATTTCCCTTATTTCTATTTATAGACATCCAATTGACCAGTCATCATTTATTGAAAAGGCTGCCCTTCCTCCACTCCGAGCAGGACCACTTTTGTCATAAATCAAAGGCCCTTTTGGGCATGGGCATGTTTCTGAATTCTGTACAGTGCCTCCTTGATTTGTTTCTCCTTTTTCAAACAGCATATTGTTTTAATCATTGTAGATTTATGATGGGTGTTGATATCCACTAGTGTAAATCTTCCTGCTTTGTTCTTCAATAAGATCATCATGGCTAATTTTGGCTTTTGGTATTTCTATCTACATTTTAGACCTGCCTCTTTTATATCCATATACACACATACACACACACACACACACACACATTCACTTCCTTAAATATTTTAATCATTGGGAATTCAAAAACTGCCAAGAACATAATGATAAAGTAAAAACAAAATCAGTGCCTATCATATATTAAAATCTAAATAAAAAATCTAAATAAAATTTGGCATAAGGCTATATCTGGCAAACTTCTTAAAACTGCCTCTGACCAACAGTCACAAACTTGGGCAAGAGACCTAACGTTTCTGTACCTCTATTCAACATTTTGCAATCTTACTGCTTTCTGAGATTCTAATGAAAGGATGTATATAAAGCAGTGGTAAGATTGGCACATAGGGAGCCAATAAAAGTAGGGTATTATGGTTAATTCTTTTACCACAACACTCCTTCATTTAGTCTTCTATTAGAACTCATGATTTGTTTCTCTTGTTACGTTATAAGCTCTGAGCACTGTCCCTAGCCTGGGCAAAAGGGGCCAGAATCCAGGATCTATGCTTTAGCAGGCTTCATACATCACAAACACAAACATGATAAAGTTATTAAAGAACACTTGGGTGCTTAGTCCTTGAGATTCGACCCTGAAGACTGGCATACTTGTAGTCTGGCACCCTAAAATACCATGTTGTGAGGTCCAGGGAACATGGAGTCCATTTTTCTTGTCCTATGTCCTCAGACAAACATGATTGAACTTGAAGGTTTTGAAAGGTTGTTGGCTGTGCCCCTGTCCATGTCAGAAGCAAATGCTCCTCTGAAGGGGAAGATTTAGTGAGCAAAGTTGTGCTTAGGGAACAGCAAAAATAAAGGTATTGTTAGTCCTCGTTACATAGTTTGAATGCAATAGATTTTTGCATGAGAAATAATCATTTCTGTGCAGTACCAAGAATCTCTTTCCTTGCTTCAATCGTTGTTCTGACTTCTGATGTCAGCGGCAAGATAGTCACAAGAGTTGCTCATGGTAATTGAGGAACATCTTGAAATATTAGTCAATTCATCCACGTAGGTCTAGATTTAACACTCATGGTACAGGTTGCTAATTCTTTACAGCAGTTGAGAAAGAGATACTCAATGCTAGAAAAGCAGAGTTTTATTTTTATATATCAAGTTATATACCTTAAAATATACTATTTTTATACCTTGAGGCTATCTCAATAGAGTTGCTTAAAGAGTTCCTATGGCTTTAAATTATTTAGACCTCGGTTTTGTGGGCTTTCATTTGTCCACTTGACAGGACCTGGGAAATGTGAGGTTTGGTCTCTTGAAATCAAAGACCACGTCATCCCCTCTCCCACCATACATAAATGCCTAACACAAACCCCTGCCCATGATGGGTGTCCTCTCACCACAAAATGTTTAATTAACAAATGCATCCTTGTTGAGTGAATTTATGTGGAAGTATTGGGTTTCCCAGGGCTGCCAGGTCTTCTGACACCACTAAATTTTCCTTTTAGATGGAGTAACACACAGGCAGCCCCTAGTAAGGTCACTGCATGCTCAGACACTCTGCCAAGAAGTGTACTTCTTCTTCTTAACCACTTCCTTCCCCCAAAGCTCGGGCCCTCCTTGAGAACCCATCTCCTGGGGCTATCAGATTAAACCGAGCAGGAAAACTGGTAGAAAGGTTAATATGATTGGATCCAAAACTTGGAATGGTTTAAATTCAAGGCTTTAGTTGCTAATTTTAGTCCCAGGGTAGGATATTCAAAAAGTAGACTGTGCCTCTGTTTAAATAATCTTCCTTAATGATGATGTAAAGTAAAATAGATTAGTTTTAAAATGTCCTGGAGACAGGCAAGAATTTTTTCCAACTTTTCGGTTTGTCTGTATGCCCACAGAGACGGGTACAGAGGAACAGAGCCACATCAAGTTGCCAGTTTAGGGGAAAAAAAGACCAATCGTTTTGGGAGCATTATGACAAAATGTAAAAAAAAAAAATGATATAGACCTCCCACAGAGTTGCTCTGCATTAACTGAACCAATTTGTATTTAACCATGGGTCGCTTCTCCCTCTGTAACTCCTTCCTCTTTCTCCCTCCTCATCACCTCCCAACAACCCCTCATCCAGAAAAAAAGGTTTAAAATAATATAAAAATCATAATAAACTTGATGTTAAATTTCTTAATTTGTTTTTCATGTGTTAGCTTAAAGTCTTTATTCAAGTTCAGCGTATTATTGCCATACGGGGCCAAGGGACAGCCCTCATTTCGGAATGAGAATCTTTACTTAGTGAAATTCTTCCATACATAGGGCTCTACATAAGATATTTTTCTTTCCTGGAGTAATTGAAAATACTCTCTGCAGGATTTCAACTCTCAGAACATCTCCACTTTGGGGCTTTAATTGCCTCTCTGCTTTCCAGCACAGCACCTTGGATTAAGCGAGATGTGCTTTATCAGCCAATAAATAAGAGCAATAATTGCCTCCGTGTTTATTAACTCAGACTCTTCCAGTCTCGTCTTCATCGTGTATTTTCCCACTTAAGGCAAACTCAAGGACTGGCAGTTTGCTTGTATTTATCTATCGCCTGCCAAATGATTCTTTGCTGTAATGCTCCCCAGCCCCCCACAAACCAGGACAAGAAAAGGAGTTTAAGTTATTCTTATGTGATGCCTTTATTTGGTTCTTTCCTATTTCTGAGCTTACTTTTCAGTCGTAAAATTAAAAATAGAAGTGAAAGTCTTCTTTGTTTTCCTAATTAAACCCTCATTTCATTAAATTGGATTTCACTGGCAGGACTTAAAGGCATAACCTTCCGCCTATTATCACCATCCTTTATAATTCCTGCAGTCATTACTTCTGCGGCAGATGACTGTGGTTTGTGCTTTTTCTGTTGTTGTTTTTAAATGTATGTCCCTCGCTGTTCTTTGGAAAGGGGCCATTGTTAACATGGAGGTTCTCCCATACGTCCAAGTTTATGTTTGCCAGATGCTCTAGAATAAATGATGATTCAAAACATATTTGAATGGGTCTTGTTTTCTTCCATAGCTGAAATTTTGGACCTCCAAATCGATGACCTTTAAACATCATGTTCTTCTTGTACGTTTAAAAAAATCAGTCACATGGCTATGTGAGAGTCTTCTTTTCCATCTACAGACCATGCTAGAGGCTTTACACCACCATACCCGAAGGGTGCCCCAGTCACTGTCGGGTCTGACACCTGGAGAAGCAGATTCAGGGGAGCTGTTACCTTACCGAAGAGCACATTGAGGGGCTCGGCTGCTAACATCCTGACAGCAAAGGGGAAGACCCACCTGGCCTGTCAAGGTTCTGACTGCTGTACTGGAGGTCAGCCCAGCTCATTACCAACAAACATTATGTTTCCACAGCACAAGGAAGCTGTTTACTATGCAGGTTCCTTGAAAATGGAGACATCTTGGGTTACTATATTTCTGGTAAGAATAAAGGTAGTAGGAATGATACTTTTCTCTACCAAAAAGCTGTTTTGTTCTTAGAGATGCTTACGTGACCACATCATTTTGTCTACTTGGCAAGTGCCAGTGACTTTGACAAGAGAAGTAGCCCAAGATGTAGCAGACCTCTCCTGACTCGCCCGCTGCTCCCCTCAGCAGTGTGTTTCAGTCAGTCTGCCTGTTCTGCTCTCCACTCTGTCTCTGGCGCATGTTCTCACCATCCCCACATCTCTGACCTACACCCCAGTTCTTCTACATAAAAAAAGAAATGGCTACTCAGAAAAAGGCGGGGGGGGATAGATAGCCAAAGACACAAAGACATGAAAAATGTGAACCATGAGGCTACGAGTCAGAGGAGGATTCACAGAAGAATGTACAGAGTTGTAGGTGCTCGGTATAGTCTGAAAGTTCAGTCAAGTTCCCAGTTGATAACATAATGGAACATAACACAAGAGGCAGACTAGTAATAAGGATTCTAGGGAGACAGCATCACGGCTCACCCTGTGGGGTGGCTGTATTAAAAACCATAGGCAGGAACTCAAGGGCAAGTGAGATGGTGTGTGTAAGTAAAAGTAATAGATGAACTAAAGATTTGGAATTGCTGGATACTAGAATGCCAAGAACAATTTTGGCTCCTGGGGAAAGCAGGAGAAAAGGCACACAAATCAATGAAGATATGGAGAGGGGTATTTCTCTCTCTCCCTCTCTCTCTCTCTCTCTCTCTCTCTCTCTCTCTCTCTCACACACACACACACACACACACACACACACACTTTTTTGAACAAGGTCAACTCATGCTCTTGATCCTGATTCCCAGATTCCATTCATCCTAGCAGAGCCCCGAGGAGCTAGTGAAAAGCAGGGGGGCGGGAGGGTATGTGAAGCTTAAAAACATAAACATCATTATAAATCTTAAAAATGTTTGTAACCGGAAGTAAATTCATGGAGTCACAAAACATTGTCTCTGACAGGAAAATGGCTTGGACTTTTAGTTGGTGTTAGTGTTGAAAACTAGGGCTGGTCTCTGTCTACTGCCCAAGGCCATGAGAATCACAGTGAGGAGGAAGAG